CGCGGACAAACGCCCGAGATCCCCAGACCCGGAACGCCGACGCATCGCCAACCTTCCCTGTCCACAGCAAGGCTGGGGAGGTCTCCGGCCTGGAGACCCTGGGGTGAAGGTTGATCTGATGCGCCGCGTACCGAACCGCAAACGGCCACAGAAAATGGGGGGCAACCGCATGCATCATAGACGTACGAGCGACGTCCATGACCATGCCAATGCGGCGCTCAGCAATCCCATTTTGCTGCGGAGAGTCCGGAAGCGTGAAGGTCTGACGGATGCCTCGTGCGCGACAGTAGGCTCTCAGAAGGCCAGAGGAAAACTCTCCGCCTCTGTCCGAGTGCAGACGCAGAACAGGTAAGTCCGAGCCAAAGCTCTGCCTGAGCTGGAGACGAGCTGCGCGGATCCAGTCGATCAGCACCTTAGTGACATCACCCTTGCTGCGCAAGGGGAAGACTGCGGTGTAACGCGAGTAGTCGTCAACAACGAGCAGGAAGTAGCGCTCGTGACCCTGTCCACGGACGCGGGCTGGGCCCCACACGTCCATGTGAAGCGTCTGCAACGGGGCCTCTGTCGGAGGAAACTGGGAGGAGTGAGGGGCAGCACGCTGGCGCCCCTCGACACAGGGGACACAGGTAGGGCCAGGGCCCTGAGGAAGGGGAGGGAGGGACCGGGGGAGACCAGAAACAAGAAGACGAGAGGCCATGCCTCTGAGCCGAAGCAGAGAGGGGTGACCAAGGCGGTGGTGCCAGAGGAGAGTCTCGTGAGACAGGAGACGACACGAACAGGGGGCAGACTCAGGACCAGACCTGGACGCTGCAGCAAACACCTGACCCGACGCAGCTACCCTACCAGAATCAGCAACTGGAGGAGACGCAGTGGTCAGTGTGTACAGGCTCGACCCCGGCCGACGAGTAAACGTGGCCAGGTGTCGGCCTGTCCGAGCGTCTGTGCAGTGGGTCACCCGCTGACTCGCAGGAGTGAACTGGTGAACCCCCGCATCGTGCAGGTCAGCACCACTCACCAAGTTTGTAGAGAACGAGGGGAGGTAAAGACCAGACAGGGTGCCAGAGGGGGCCGCCAGACACGGGAGGACAGTGGAGAAGTGAGCAAGGACAGGGCCCCCAGAGGGGTCTGCTAGAGAGACCGCAACTGGCCGACCAAGCGGCGTGAGTGTGGTGCGGTCTCGAAAGAAGGAGCGGGAAGCCCCCGAGTCAAGGGTGAAGGTGTGAGAGGCCGGAGCCGACGCGGTACCTGAGAGAGCAGACTCACCCGCACCTGAGGAAGCAGACTCACTAGCACCTAGAGCAGCAGCCGCACCTGTACCTGGAGTAGGAGACACACTAGCACCCAGAGCAGCAGCCGCACCAGCAGCTAGAGCAGCAGGCTCTATACCCGGGTCAGGCGGTACGCACAGGTGACCGACACGGTCAGCACTAGTAGGCAGTGCATACATGGCAGTGAGAATAGCATCATAGTCAAGAGCAAATATATCTACCCTCTGCCCAAGCAACTCCACCCAGTCGGAGAGCTCAGCCTCGTCGCCAAACTCGGTACGCCAGGCGTCGCTCAGACGGGCGAAGCAGCGGGACGGTGTGTGACTAGGCGTCCCACTAGACAATTGGGATAAAAGGGCTTGTTTCAGTAGCGGGTCAGTGCGCCCATAACCCCCCAGGCAACCGTGCATGTAACCCTTACCTAGGATCAATCGGGGATCACCAGTGGACTTACGTACTACCAAATCTGCCTCTTCAAGTATTACGGATGACGTGGCGTCCCGAACAATGGTTGCCGAAGTGGCACCTTCGCAACATCCACACTCTTAATAAGAAACTCTTTTCAAGATGCGTGAAAATATTTCTAAGTAGTTTAAAAAACTTCACATTTATAAGACTTATAAGACACCCAAAACCTCCCCAAATACAAGATAACCCAAGCATTTTTTTAGTGTATGAGATAAGACATATATGCCTTATATCCGGGCGATGACGGTATAATAATGAATCCGTAAGAAAAGGGGGGTGTTATAGAAAATCAGCCAAAAAGGGGGGTATAGTAAAAACGAGGTCTATCATAACACCCACCCCGCAGAAGCTACCCGGGGGTGTACAATTATGGGGGGGTGTTTTGTCCGGGAGTATACGGTACCTTGGGGGGCGGCTGCTGTTTCACAGCTACCCTTTAAAATGAGAAAGTAAGAACGATGAGAAAGTAAGAACGAGAATGAAATGAACTATGAATGAAGTGGGTACAAGTACTAACCCTAATTGGGTTGTACCCCCTATGGGATACCCCACTACAGCATACACAAAAGCATAAGCTATAAATGTCCTGACACACCCCCATAGGCAAAGTAGGGGAGAACAGGGGGTCACAAGACCAGTCAAGCAAAGCAAAGCAAAGCAAGCTCAGGGTGGATCACAAAGTCACCACACATTCCGAGCACAAGTTCAAGGCCACAAGACCAGTTTACATGCAGGAGTACATATATATATATATGGCTAGACAAGCGAGAGAAGGTATATACATATATATATGTAACAGTACAAGAAAGGTCAAGAGGTAAGCAAGTGAGGCAAGACAGGGACAAGACCCAGCTGAGTGCAGAAGCGCTGATGATCACAAGGCGGAAGTGCCTTGGTGAAAACATCAGCAGTGTTGGCCTCAGAGGCCACGTACGCAAGCCGCAACAGTCCACGCTGCTGTAGCTCACGAGCAAGGAAGTAGCGGAGAGCAATGTGCTTTGTTCTGTGCTCCAGTCGCTGCTCTCAACACAAGGCCAGCATGGCCTTGTTGTCTACGTACAGAACTGGAGGAGAACGAGGCGGCTCTCTGAGGTCAGTCACCAGGTAGGTGAGCCAGCAAAGCCCGTGTGCAGCCATGGCCCCAGCGTAGATCTCAGCCTCACAACTGGAGCCGAGAACAGAAGACGAGCGAGTAGCCCGCCACGAGACAGAGCCGGAACCAAGGCTGAAGGTGTAACCTTGTGACGACCGCTACGTAGCCTGGTCGTCAGCCCAAGAAGCGTCTGCGTGCCCAGTGAGGACCACTGGACTGCGCCCTCCAAGCACTAGCCCCATGCTCGACGTACTGCACAAGTAGCGCAACACCCTCTTCGCTGCAGCCATGTGCTCTGGTCGGTGTCTCCCAGGAGAAACATAGCGTGCGAGAATGCTAAGAGGGTATGCAAGGTCAGGTCGTGTGCAGGTCATCAGGTACCTGAGGCAGCCAACAAGCTCTGGATACGGGCCACTCGACTCTACGGACTCATCCGAAGGCAGAGCTGAGAGCGAGTGGCGAGTAGGCAGAGGAGTGGCCTGAGGCGAGGAGTACGTGAAGCCGAAGTGCTGAAGGACCTGCTGCACCATGTGTGACTGAGTCAGGGTGATGGTGCAGCGTGCTCTGTCCCGGGTGATCTGCAAGCCAAGGTAGCTGCACAGTTCACCCAGGTCGGTGCACGTGTGTCTCTTCTGCATCTCGGACTTCACGTAGGCGAGTCCAACAGTGTCAGCTGTGGCAAAGACCAAGTCGTCGACGTACATGAGGATGTAGAACGGCGGCAGAGAGGTGTCGGTGCGCAGAAACAGCGACGGGTCGGCAGTAGAAGGAGCAAACCCAAGAGCCGCAAGCGTAGTCCTCAGTGTGTCGTGCAACTCACGTGGCGCCTGGCGGAGACCGTAGACTGGACGCCGGAGACTCCACTAAGTACCAGGAGGGAACGACCCTGTGAAGCCAGGTGGGCGGCGCAGCCAGATCTCCTCGTGCAGGCTGCCCTGCAAGAAAGCTGTGTTGAAGTCGAGAGAGTGCAGCTCGTAGTGCACGGAGGAAGATGAAGATGGACCTCATGGATGAGGAGGCACAAAAAAAAAAGTTTTTGCAGCCCAACATTCCGACCAAGGGGCTTGCATAAGGATGAGGGGTAACCAATAAGACAGTAAAAAATAAAATAAAATCAAAGGGCGAGATGGCATAGGGACTTACGAGAGGAGGTGCTATCTCGCATACGTACAAGGCCCCCAGGCCTGTCCCATGACCAAAGGCTAACCACCCAATACGCTCTACCCCAGATGTCCCAACTCGCAGTGGCTTACGACAAAGGGCAAGAAGTGGAGTGGGACCCATAAGAGAACGCGGTCATGGACGAAGCGGTGAAGGTCATGCGCAACCGATTGCGGAGCCGACTCCATTGGTGGCTATCATGGTGCGAGAACAGCTTTATCATATCAATCATCGCGAGGGGCTATTGGCTGCCATGGAAAAACGGCGAACCACCACCGTTCGAAACCGCAAACCATGCCGGTGTCCACGCACACACGACATTCACGCGAGAGGCCATTCGCGACCTCATCACATCAGGCGCCGCGATGAAGGTAGCCTTGCAAATCGGGAATCTCGTCCCAAGGTATCTAGGATTGTGGCAAACACGATCGCGCTGGGCGGTCCAGGATCCGAGTAACATTGCTTCACATTTTATACCGGTACGGATTTCGCAGCTTCCCGGGCTCACAAACGCCCAAATATGGGGACGGTTCTTCATGCGGCGGGCCCGTTTGAAGGCAAAAAGAGCTGGAATCTCGTCCCAAGATATCTAGGATTGTGGCAAACACGATCGGGCTGGGCGGTCCAGGATCCGAGTAACATTGCTTCACATTTTATACCGGTACGGATTTCGCAGCTTCCCGGGCTCACAAACGCCCTTATATGGGGACGGTTCTACATGCGGCGGGCCCGTTTGAAGGCGAAAAGAGCTGGAATCTCGTCCCAAGGTATCTAGGATTGTGCCAAACACGATCCTGCTGGGCGGTCTAGGATCTGAGTAACATTGCTTCACATTTTATACCGGTACGGATTTCGCAGCTTCCCGGGCTCACAAACGCCCTTATATGGAGACGGTTCTTCATACGGCGGGCCCGTTTGAAGGCAAAAAGAGCTGGAATCTCGTCCCAAGGTATCTAGGATTGTGGCAAACACGATCGCGCTGGGCGGTCCAGGATCCGAGTAACATTGCTTCACATTTTATACCGGTACCGAAAGGAGGAGCGAGAAGCCCCAGAGTCAAGGGTGAAGGTGAGGGAGGCCGAAGCCGGCGCAGTACCTGAGGACGCAGACGCACGAGCACCTAGAGCAGCAGCGTCGCAAGCACCTAGGGCAGCAGCCTCACCAGTACCTAGAGCACCAGTCTCAATGCCCGGATCGGGCGGGAAACACCGGTAACAGTCACCCTCATCACTAATAGTCACAGCATACATGGCAGAAAGGATAGCATCAAAATCAAGATCATAGATGGCAACTCCCGCCCTAGAAAGCTCTCCCCAGCGAGGGATCTCCGTAGCCTCAGGGAACTGGTGACGCCACGCGTCCGTCAGGCGGCCAAAGCAGCGCTGGGTGGGGTGCGCACCCCCACACTGCTCACCCGCACGGTCGCCGGTGCGCAGGACGTAGGTGCACGGACCAAAACCCCTACCCCGCTGGCGTGCAGTGTACCACTCACGGAGCTGCTGAGGGGACAGGGTCTCACGACCGCGCTGCTGCTGCTGGCGCGGACCACCACCGGAGCCACTTGTCTGCGTAGACCCGCGACCAGCTCCACCGCCACCTCCACCGCCTCCGCCGCCTCCGCCGCCTCCGCCACCACCGCCGCCTCCGCCACCACCGCCGCCTCCGCTACCACCGCCGCCTCCGCTCCCTCCGCCACCGCCGCCGTCTCCGCCTCCACTGCTGCCACCGGTACCCCCACCCCCACCACCACTCCCACCACCACCCCCACTCCCTCCGCCGCCTCCACCGCCACCTCCACCGCCCCCGCCAGCTCTTCCAGCTCCCTTGCCCCCCTTGCTCTTGCCTGTGCGGCGCTTCCCCAAAGGGGCAGACGCAGCACCGACCGACTCAAAACCAACGAGGTTGGCCGCAGCAGCAGAAGCAACAGAGGGCAAGAAGGGGGAGGGAGAACACCCCTCAAAGATAGGGGTGCGGGGGTCACCACGAGAGGCTCCTACAACAACTATGCTCTTCTCCGCCGCTAGGAGGGCCTTCTCGAGGAGGTCAACGGTGAGAGTGGTGGGGCACACTGCGAGGAAGTGGTCCCTGACTATGCGAAGGGAGTCAGGGAGTCGGGTGACTATGTAGTAGAGGGTGATATACAAGGGGGGGGGGGTTCTTGGCGCAGAAGTCAGCAGGAAGCGCAGCGCGGTAGCGAGTGTCACTAGTGCGGAGGTGCATAATGAGGTCAGCGACTGTGGGAAAGGCAGCAAGGTCAGGGAAGAGGTACGGTAGCATGAGACGGCTCAGTGCAGCAGTGGCAGGGGAGGAGTAGCGTGCAACTACAGCGTCGTATAAGGTCTGAGCACTCTTGTACTGACTAAAGTGCACACGCTCGGAGGTAGGGAGGTGGCGATGCACAGCAAGACGTGCAGCAGCGTCGCGCGTGGCCCACTGGGAGCGAACAGTGGCGTCAGCATCAGCAGCAGGGGCAGGAGAGGCGCCAGAGGTGAGGTCAAAGAGAGAGAGACCGTCTGCCCTATCGCACTGTAAAAACAGCTGCAGGTCATCTACCCAGACGTCAAAGTCAATGGCTCGACCCTCAGCGTCAAAAGCGAGGGCACTAGGGGTAGCCATGACCACAGTAGACTAGCAGTGCAACAGTAGGGTGAGGTCAGTGCAGTAAAAGAGGCACTGTGCTTACCGGACAGGGCAGCTCGGGCGGCTCGGCAGTAGGGCGGCTCGGCAGTAGGGCGGCTCGGCGGCTCGGCTACTGGGCGGCTGGGCGGCTTGGCTGCAGTGCGGCTCGGCGGCCCGGCGGCTCGACTGTACGGCGGCTCGGCTGCTGGGCGGCTCGGCTGCAGGGCTGCTCGGCTGGTGGGCGGCTCGGCTGCAGGGCGGCTCGGCTGCTCGGCTGCTGGGCGGCTCGGCGGCTCGGCTGTCCGGCTGCTCGGTTGCCCGGGCGGCTCGGCGGTGTTGCTGCAGGGCAGCGCGGTGGTCGGCTGCTTGGCTGGGTGGGGCGGGTTGGGCAGCTCGGGTGGCGGGCGGCGCTGCTGCAGGGGACGGGGCCGCAGATGAGAGCGGCGGGGCCGCAGGTGAGAGCGGCGGGGCCGCCGGTGAGAGCAGCGGGGCCGCCGATGAGAGCGGCGGGGCTGCAGGTGAGAGCAGCGGGGCCGCCGATGAGAGCGGTGGGGCCGCAGGTGAGAGTGGCGGGGCCGCAGTTGAGGGCGGCGGGGCCGCAGGTGAGAGCGGCGGGGCCGCAGGTGAGAGCGGCGAGGCCGCAGGGAAGGGCGGCGGGGCCGAAGTTGAGGGCGGCGGGACCGCAGCAGAGGGCGGCGAGGCCGGAGTTAAGGGCGACGGGGCCGCAGTTGAGGGCGGCGGGGCCGCAGTTGATGGTGGCGGGGCCGTAGTTGAGGGCGGCGGGGCCGCAGTTGAGGGCGGCGAGGCCGCAGTTGAGGGCGGCGGGGCCGCAGGTGAGGGCTGCGGGGCCGTGTAACGGGACGGCGGGGCCGTGAGAAGGGCGGCGACGGGCCGCTGCAAGGGCGGCGAATCGGGGCCGCTGGTGAAAGGGCGGCGGATCGGGGCCACAAGGGCGGCTGATCGGGGCCGCGGGTAGCCGCTAGGGCGGCGCGATGCGGTTGTTAGGGCGGCGCGACGCAATCGTAAGGGCGGCGCGACGGGCCGCTAAGGGCGACGCGACGGGCCGCTAAGGGCGACGCGACGGGCCGCTAAGGGCGACGCGACGGGCCGCTAAGGGTGACGCGACGGGGCCGCTAAGAAGGGCGCGACCCTAGGCGCGCTTCGGGCAGGGGCAGGACGCGCCCTGGGCAGGTAAAAAAAAAGGGATCGGTGGGCCCTAGGAACAGTTCCCACGAGGGAACCTGCTCGATACCATGAGAAAGTAAGAACGAGAATGAAATGAACTATGAATGAAGTGGGTACAAGTACTAACCCTAATTGGGTTGTACCCCCTATGGAATACCCCACTACAGCCCATACAAAAGCATAAGCTATAAATGTTCTGACATAAAAAACAGGCTTCCGATATTTTTACCCTTTCGCAAAAAATAACAATTTTTGAAAGTGTCACACTTTCTAAAATTTCGTATTGTGAAAGCGGCAACTTGGCCAACGCAGCAAAGGTAGCGGTTCAACGCTACTCACCCCTCTTTTGCCTACAAAAGAGAAACGTTGGCTCACTCGCCTCACCCACGTTCTTCATTTTTCAAGTTTCTAGTTTTACTTTCCCGTTCTCGTCCATCCTGACGAAGACGCAAACCCTCCCGCGGTTCAAGGCCCCGACTACTCTGCTTACCGAAATTCTTCAGCACAACATCGCGAGCATGGCGCCTGCAAATACGACACTTAACCGAGATGCGGATAAATCGACTGCCGTCATCACCCGGATAGTAGACAGTGTTGAATAGTAGACAGGGGTTGTCTATTATCCGGGTTGTCTATAAACAGGCTAGCCTCATTATAAGACACCTATTTGTCTGTACGAGTTTAGCCAGTGTAAGGGTTAGGGGCAATTGTATGACGAGGGGGTATCTTTTAAACGGTTCTTTGTCAATTTATAAGACTTATAAGACAACCAAAACCCCCCCAAATACAAGATAATCCAAGCATTTTTTCTAGTGTACAAGATAAGGCATATATGTCTTGTATCCGGGCGATGACGGTACCCCGAATAATTCTGCGGAGCCTGCACACGCGACCGAGGCAGCCGACCGCCGCGGAAAACGCCCTGCCGAAGAAAATTTCGGCGAGGGCCCGTTAGCTGTGGAGGTTCTGCTCGGTAGCAACACTCGAGCCACCTCCGAAGAAGCACGCGCGACTGTTTCCCAGTCGCGCGTCCCTCCTGCCGAGGACCGCTCGGCCCCCAGGCAGCCGCGCGGTCCCCCTAAGTCAACGCCGGCCAGTGCGGACGTCGTCATCATGACCGACGCTAACCATCCAGGCCCCATGTCGTAGAAGCGACAGAAAGCAGCCGTGTCAGCTGAAATCGGCCCAGCCAACCCCCTCGCCTCCCTCACTGCACAGCAGCTGCAGGCTCTACTCTCGATATTGCAGCAGCAAGCTCTAGTTACAGTCGCAACTTCAACCGACTATATTTCAGCGCCTGCAAACAATGAAAAACAGAAAGAAGCCGTCGCCCCTTTTCGTGCAAACAAAGCGCATCGCGTCAACGACACCGCTGCAGCAACCCTTCCCGCTCCTGCACCGGCGCCGATCGCTGCTCAAGACGACAGCGACAACTCGGAGAACGAAGATGGTGAGGCACCTAACAACATTACCCGTCGTCGCATTATCGCACCCGCACCCCCTCTCCCACCCCTCAACCCCACACCCGCAGCCACCACCTTCATGCACAAAGGCGTGCGCGATCAGGCGGAAGTTTTTTCTGCCATCCAGGCTCACTTGAAGCACGTCGACTTCAAGCTCCAGCACAGTGACATCGAAGGCGCCCTCTCCAACGTCGAGGAAATCGAGACACTAATTAGTAAGCACTTTGAAGTCCTCTTGGTGGCGGACGAGGCCGGCTTCGAGGCTGCCGATCGTTTTCAGCTGTACCAGTCCAAGAGCGTCCTCACCTCACGCTCATACAAGCTTGCAGTCGCGGATGTGGCGGCGCTCAAGCGTGCTCGCACCGGCTACACCCCTGGCAGCTGTATGCCCACCCGAGACGTCGACATGGAAGGCAAGGGCATGCCGCCCGCAAATTGCCATGAGCCCCGCTTCAAAGGGGTGTGCTTTCGTTGCGGCCAGCCTGGCCATATGGCAAATGCTTGCCCTATGGGAGGGCAAGGCGCTCAAGGCCCCACACCCGTGGTGTGAGGAGCGGCGCCCCTTGCCACTATGCCGGAGGGAGTAGGTGGGAGCACCAATGGAGCATGGCTGGTAGTTCGCCATTAGAAGGATATGGGCTGGAGGCCATAGAAATCCCTGATTGTAGGGCAGAAATGGGTATAGGAACTGTCACAATCCCAACCACTAGACCATTGGGATAAAAGGGCTTGTTTGTGTAGCGGGTAAGTGCGCCCATAACCCCCCAGGCCAGCGTGCCTGTAACCCTTTCCTAGGATCAATCGGGGATCACCAGTGGACCTTTGATAGGAACATGCCATGCACCCACGTGTGGAATTAATGCAATAAGTTCTTGCTAACTTCAGGCATGAAAAGCCCCAAGACACACACGGGAGAGAAGAAAATCAGAGGAGAAAGGACTAGGGAATGAAAAGAAGCGAGAGAGAGAGAGAGAGAGAGAGAGAGAGAGAGGGAGAGAAAGAGAGAGAGAGAGAGAGAGAGAGAGAGAGAGAGAGAGAGAGAGAGAGAGAGAGAGACACTGCTGGCAGACACTGCGGCTCGGCGCCACTTCAACGCCGACTCTAACTCCTATCATGCCGCCAAGTTTCTGCATCAGTTCAGGCAGCGGTGGTCGGTTGCCATTCAGAGGGCGCAGTCAGTGGGCCTGCTTATGAAATTGGGTGAGGCTGCAACAGCTGAGAACCCTCCGGTAGGGGGTATTGGGCATGAGCTACACCTAGGGGATTGCTTTGCTGTTTTGGAGCCTCTAGTGGAACTGTAGAGGAAATAGGATGAAGACTACATGATTCTGCACCTGTATGTGTGTACCTACCTGCCACATCAATATACGGACCATTAGAGAGAGAGAGAGAGAGAGAGAGAGAGAGAGAGAGAGAGAGAGAGAGAGAGAGAGAGAGAGAGAGAGAGAGAGAGAGAGAGAGAGAAAGAGATAGAGAGGGAGAGAGGGAGAGGGAGAGAGGTAGAGAGGGAGAGAGGGAGAGAGGGAAAGAGGGGGAGAGGGAGAGAGAAAGAGAGAGAGAGAGAGGGAGGGAGAAAGTGAAAGGGAGTAAGAGGACAGTAAGAGGAAGATGAAGATGGACCTCATGGATGAGGAGGCACAAAAAAAAAAGTTTTTGCAGCCCAACATTCCGACCAAGGGGCTTGCATAAGGATGAGGGGTAACCAATAAGACAGTAAAAAAAAAATAAAAATCAAAGGGCGAGATGGCATAGGGACTTACGAGAGGAGGTGCTATCTCGCATACGTACAAGGCCCCCAGGCCTGTCCCATGACCAAAGGCTAACCACCCAATACGCTCTACCCCAGATGTCCCAACTCGCAGTGGCTTACGACAAAGGGCAAGAAGTGGAGTGGGACCCATACGAGAACGCGGTCATGGACGAAGCGGTGAAGGTCATGCGCAACCGATTGCGGAGCCGACTCCATTGGTGGCTATCATGGTGCGAGAACAGCTTTATCATATCAATCATCGCGAGGGGCTATTGGCTGCCATGGAAAAACGGCGAACCACCACCGTTCGAAACCGCAAACCATGCCGGTGTCCACGCACACACGACATTCACGCGAGAGGCCATTCGCGACCTCATCACATCAGGCGCCGCGATGAAGGTAGCCTTGCAAATCGGGAATCTCGTCCCAAGGTATCTAGGATTGTGGCAAACACGATCGTGCTGGGCGGTCCAGGATCCGAGTAACATTGCTTCACATTTTATACCGGTACGGATTTCGCAGCTTCCCGGGCTCACAAACGCCCAAATATGGGGACGGTTCTTCATGCGGCGGGCCCGTTTGAAGGCAAAAAGAGCTGG